GCCTCAGCCTGCATCAGCCCCAGCCTCAGCCTCAGCCTCAGCCTGCCGCAGCCTCAGCCTGCCTCGGCCTCAGCCTCAGCCTGCCTCAGCCGCAGCTTGCCTCAGACTCAGCCACTGCCTCAGCCTCAGCCTCAGCCTGCCTCAGCTTCAGCCTCAGCCTCAGCCTGCCTCGGCTTGCTTCAGCCTCAGCCTCAGCCTGCCTCGGCCTCAGCCTCAGCCTCAGCCTGCCTCAGCCTCAGCGTAAGCCTCTCAGCCTCGGCCTGCATCAGCCTGCCTCAACCTCAGCCTGCCTCAGCCTCAGTCTCAGCCTGCCTCAGCCTCAGCCTGCCTCAGCCTCCTGAGCCTGCCTCGGCCTCAGCCTCAGCCTGCCTCTGCCTCAGCCTCAGCCTCAGCCTGTCTCAGCCTCAGCATCAGCCTCAGCCTGCCTCGGCCTCAGCCTCAGCCTGCCTCAGCCTCAGCCTCAGCCTGCCTCAGCCTCATCCTGCATCAGCCTCAGCCTCAGCCTGCCTCAGCCGCAGCCTGCCTCAGCCTCAGCCACAGCCTCAGCCTCAGCCTCAGCCTGCCTCAGCTTCAGCCTCAGCCTCAGCCTGCCTCGGCTTGCCCCAGCCTCAGCCTCAGCCTGCCTCGGCCTAAGCCTCAGCCTCAACCTGCCTCAGCCTCTGCGTCAGCCTCTCAGCCTCAGCCTGCATCAGCCTCAGCCTCAGCCTCAGCCTGCCTCAGCCTCAGTCTCAGCCTGCCTCAGCCTCAGCCTGCCTCAGCCTCAGCCTCAGCCTGCCTCGGCCTCAGCCTGCGTCAGCGTCAGCCTCAGCCTGCCTCAGCCTCAGCCTGGCTCAGCCTCAGCCTGCCTCAGCCTCAGCCTCAGCCTCAGCCTGCCTCGCCGTGCCTCAGCCTCAGCCTCAGCCTGCCTCGGCCTCAGCCTGCCTCGGCCTCACCTGCCTCAGCTCGGGCATTCAAAATATGGCTCAGGACTGGTGTTCTGGGAACACGAAGAACACGAAGTGGCCTACAGTTGGCTCCGGGCATTCAAAATGCGGCCTGGGAATGGTGTTCTGGGTACACACGAAGAACACGAAGTGGCCTACAGTTGGCTCCGGGCATTCAAAATGTGGCTTGGGAATGGTGTTCTGGGAAGACGAAGAACACGAAGTGTCCTACAGTTGGCTCCGGGCATTCAAAATGTGGCCTGGGAATTGTGTTTTGGGAATGGATTCTTAAGAATTCTTCAGGATTCCTAAGGATTCCTTGGGCTGACCCTTTTGTCCGGTGTTGTCCGGATCCCGCCCAGACCCCCTTGGGGAGTCAAGATGCGTTCTTTTGACCCCACTAGAAGCCTACCAGTCTTCGCTGCCAGGTGAAAATAGCCCTCCAGACCCACAGACCTCCTCTGGACTGCTCAAGACCTCGACTGGGTTCTCCCTTTCCAGAGTGCTAACGGAAATGGTCATCCAGACCTGCAGACCGATCTGGACTTCTTTTTTTCTTCTTTTTTTTTTGAAAAAAAAAAAAAAACAAAAAAAAAACGGGGGGGGGGGGAAAAAACAAAGAAAAAAAAAAAAAAAAAAAAAAAAAAAAAAAAAAAAAAAAAAAAAAAAAAAAAAAAAAAAAAAAAAAAAAAAAAAAAAAAAAAAAAAAAAAAAAAAAAAAAAAAAAAAAAAAAAAAAAAAAAAAAAAAATGCCCTGGCTTCTGGATGCCGAGGTCCTGTCTGCCAGAGTGTTTCAAGAAGAAGTAGCCCCCCAGACCCGTACGGTCGGGGCCCCTGAGGAAGGAGCCCTTTTCGTCTGGGATGGGACCCGTGTTCCTCAGTTGTTATACAGCCTGCCTTGGGTTTCCCTCTGGTTCCCGATGGGGAATCGAAGGTTAACTTTATGGGAAACAGGGGCCTCGCTCGCTCCTCCTCCTCCTCCTCCTCCTCCTCCTCCTCCTCCTCCTCCTCCTCCTCCTCCTCCTCCTCCTCCCCCTCCCCCTCCTCCTCTCCTCCTCTCCTCCTCCTTCCTCCGCCTCTCCTCCTCCTCCTCCTCCTCCCCCTCCTCCTCCTTCCTCCTCCTCATCCTCCTCCTCCCCCTCCTACTCCTCCTCCTCCTTCCTCCTCATCCTCCTCTCCTCCTCTACTCCTCCTCCTCCTGTCGCGTCTCGCTCAACCATCTGGGGAGCCCCGTGTGCCGTTAGTCCCAGGGCAGCGGGGGCCCTGGGACTAGCGTCAGGTCGGGCCTGTCCTTCTGCAGGGGGAATGTCCAAAGGTGGAGGAGGAGGAGGAGGAGGAGGAGGAGGAGGAGGAGGAGGGAGGAGGGAGGAGGAGGAAGGAGGAGGAGGAGGAGGAGGAGGAGGAGGAGGAGCAGGGGGGGGGGCAAGTCTGGGGTCCTTTTTGAGCCCTTCTTTTATTTTCCGCCGAAAGGTCCCCCCGTGGGGGGACACGCCCGACCCGAGGCTCACGGTGTGCGCCGCCCCTCCCGGGGCGGCGCGCGCACCGAGACACCGTGTGCAGTCGGCCCGGATCAGGAGGTCGACCCTGCCAGCTCCAAGGGTACGACGACGACGACGCCGACGACGACGCCGACGACGCCGACGACGACGCCGACGCCGACGCCGACGA